TGATATGTGGTGCGTGGACCCTGTGGACTGGGCGCAATGCCCGCCGCCATGGCCGCAAGGTTTGGGAGCCGGGGGCAACAGCGCGGTATATATATCCTCCATGCTGGAGGAGCTGGCTTCTCTGAAGATGCCGTCACAGCCAGCAAAGCCGGCGCGCATGGTGCAGTGGAAGAGACCGGACGAAGGCTGGCTCAAGGTAAACACTGATGCTGCATTTGATCCAAACACATGCACCGGGGGCGCTGGAGTTGTCATCCGCGACTATCTGGGACGGGTGCAAGCGGCGGCTGCGCGGTGATATGATGACGATGCTTTAACAGCCGAGGCTATGGCGGCGAAGGAAGGCTTAGAGCTAGCGGCAGAAAATGGTCATGATCGAGTTATTTTGGAGATTGATTGCCGCGGCTTGAAGACTCTGATAGACGCTGATGCTGGTCTTAGGTCTTCTATTGGTGGCCTCTGTTCGATATCACAGAGCTAGGTAGGAGTTTTGTTGATTTTTGGGTCGAGTGGGTGCGTAGGGAAGCTAACTCGGTGGTCCATTGCTGTGCCAGTACGGTGTCGGCCAATGAGCGCTCCCATTTTTGGCTCGACTATTTTCCTGAGTGGTTAATGGGAATAGCAGCCGTTGATTGTATTCCTGTCAATGCTTAATGAAAGCTATGTGATGCTAAAAAAAGAGCATCGCCTGCGCGCAAGCACTCGCTACTCACTTGCTGCGTCACGGATGCAGCGGCACGATTGTTCGCATCCCCTGTTGCTGCCCCTGCCCGTATGGTGAAAACCGTATCCGTTTTTTTTTTTTTGATAAAACACGCCCGCGTTAAAGTCCGCGTGGGTGGTAGGGAAAGATCGAGGGACACGGCGCATGGCCGGCAGTACTATACACGCACGCACCGGCACCGTGGCCGGACGCAGGGTCTTGGCGTCGCGCGGCGCGCGTCTGCGCGGTGTAGCGATGTCAATTGAGTTGAGCGGCGGGGCCGGTTTGATCTCGATTGGATGGGGGTCGCGACTCGCGAGGGCATCGTCCGTCGTCTCGAGAGCTCACATCACACCTGCTGTCTGGCTGTTGCTTCCACGCAAAAGCGAGACACCGGGCACTGTTCCCGTGATCCGGCGGCCCTCCTATTCTTTCTTCGTATCGAGTCATCCACGACGGGCGACGGAGACTCTGTCCACTCCTCAATCCTCATAATCCTCATCAGCGTATCGCGGCAACATCCATTTACCCCGGTTTTTAGTTTTAGTGTTTGGTGATTCTGTGTTAAAAGTTTGGTCCTCGTTATATTGGATGTTCAGAGGCTAACCCGTCGGGACTAAACATGAGCTAATTATAGAACTAAGAAAAAAATCCATATTACTGCCTCCAAGTTTGACCTATGACCAAATAACTCAAAACTAACATTTGATTCAATTTACTCCCTCCAACTATTTAAGTTGGTCCAACTAACACCTTAAAGAGATTTTTCTTTTTTGTTTCTATATGTACAAATTATATTTTAGTTTCAAATTTTGTGAGGTGATAGAGGACATTGTATTTTGTGTTAAAAAGATGCACTATGAATTTTTCATCATTATGTTTTATACGATATTGTGTCTCTAGTGCTAATTTATTATTAAATTTCCTAAGCTATCAAAATTGTGGCAAAAAGTTAAGATATGTTTTTTCTAACCTAACTTATGATGTTCTCTATCATATCACAAAAGTTGATATTAAGACTCAACTAATACGTGGAAAAATAAAAATAACAAATCATGTTAAGGGGTAAACTAGACCAACTAAAATAGTTGGAGGGAGTAAATTGAACTAAATGTAAGTTTAGGAGGTAATCCGGACATATGCCAAACTTGAGGGGAGTAATTTGAACATTTTCCTAAAACTAATTGCAGAAGCCGTGACTAATTCGTGATACGAATCTATTAAGTCTAATTAATCTATCATTAGCGCATATTTACTGTAGCACCACTTTGTCAAATTATGTACTAATTAGGTTTAATAGATTAGTCTCGCAAATTAGTCGCAATCTGTGCAATTAGTTTTGTAAATAATCTATATTTAGTACTTTCAATTAGTATTCAAATATTTGATTTGATAGGAACTAAATTTTAGGAGGATGAACCAAACACAAACGGAAACATGGGTAGTACCACCCGTAGTAAAATTTGCAGTGATGATTTATAACCGAGATAATATAAGGATTCTGAGACAAACCGTGTATGGATCTCTTTTGGTTACAAAAGAATATGGTCTTTCCCGCAAAGGAAAGCAAATGATAGTTTTTCTGTATTATTATCCCTTCTGTTTACATGCCCCTTCATTTTAGAAAGAACCCAGCGAGTGGATCCATCTTATATTTGATCAAACATATTAAAATACTGATATATTTATGATACACAATGGGCTGAAAAAAAGGTAAAAGGGGAGCGGAAACAGGAAACAGCAATACTCTCTCGGAGCACTAGCCTAGTGCTCCCCACGAGCGAAAGCCCTCTTCCTCTGCTCTAAGTCGTCTTTTGTTTTTGCGGCTACCTATGTCGCTGGTTCTGCTATGTTGTTGAAGATTCTTCTATTTCTTTCCTTTCCAGAAGGTATAGATACCACCTCGCTGGACTGTCTTATCTCTGCCTTTGGCGCCTTTCCTGCGGCTTCCTCCCACCAGGTGTTGTGTGTTGGGTATCCCCAGGTGATTTCAATTGCAGGTCATCAAAATGTTCCTAAGACAAAACTTGGTGTCAGACCATCTTAGCAAATGGGCAAAGTAAGCACAGATGTAGGCCGGTTTCCATCGGACCAGTGCATATAGGACACAATGTTCATGGTGAGGCCATCCTCAGACATGATTTTAATGATTTAGGATGAGATTAGCTGGAAGGAAATGTAGCAAGTTGACACTTGATCATACACCTGGAAAGTCTTTGTCTTTAGTAAACGGGAAATGAGGGTCTGTTTGGAACCGAAAAAATAGAAAATAGAGGAAAGGGAAAACAAATGAAGTATTCATTAAGGGAAATACAAGCGCCGAGACGTCTGGATATAAATAATTGATCCGGACGCTTTCACTCTACCTTTCCTACCCCGGCGCTTCTTCTCTTTCGGATCAAAAGGCTTCTACTGCGCTCCTTCCCTTTCGGATCTAGAGGCTCGTCCCACCCTAGCGCTCATCCCCTTCCGTCTGCCTCCTTTCTCCTATGATGCAATAGTAAACCACGGTAATAGTGGTTGCGCTTCATATAACGCTCACAGACACTGCACCTTGCCATGGGTGAGGGAGAGAGATGGAAAGAGAGACCAGTGGATCAGATGTTAATCTTTGCTTGCAACATTCAAGAAAAAAGGTTTGCAACATACTGAAACCTCATGTAACATCAAAAAAACATGTTGCGATATCTTAAATCGACTATTGCAAGATCTAAAAAACACATGTTGCAACATCTTAAATCGACTATTGTAACATCCAGGAAAACATGTTGCAACATCTCATATCAACTGTTGCAACACCGTAAAATCCATCACATACTACAACATAACCTACTGTAGAGTGCAGTTTCGGTTGCGCTTGCCTATGAAGGAGCCCAGCCACCATTGAGGAGCTTGTCGCCAGTGAGGCCACACTTCCGCGTGTAGTTCGTCGTCGAGAGACACCCAACCATGGAGGATTTCATAGCCGAGAAACACCTCATCATAGAGGTGTCCACTCATATCCACTTTGCTGCCATGGAGGCAAGGTAGAAAGGCGAGCGGGTGTAGCGGCGAGGGAAGAACAAGAATGGCATGGGCGGGCGGGGCCGTGAGGAGGAAAGCAGGCAGTGAGGGAGTAAGGCGGTTAGCGGCATCAGGGAGACGAACAGCCGCATCGGGGCGATGAGCAGCCGCGTCATCGAGAAACCACGTGAGGGAGACGAGTAGCGGCGTGGAAGAGAAATGTGAAGACTATTGGGCCGTTGGCAGACTGTATAGATTATGGTGTAGTTAAAAAAGCGTTTGACACGAAAGAAACAGGTCGGACGTCTGTGTAGGAGAATTTCCAATTCAGTAAACATAGGAATGGAAAAACTAAGGATACCACGGAAGGTGATGTTTGTAACGGAGGAACAAAGAGCACATGAATTTGATTTTACATGGCACCCGATGGTGCAGATTAGGTTGCATGGTACGAATTGTTTACTCTTAGTGCGCTTTGCCTTGGGCTTCAGCTAAGGAAGAGAAAACCATAGATCAAAGTGGAGAGTTTGTTCTATTCTCCTTCAGATGGAGAGTTTGTGCCTTTGCGGACTTTCTTGTAAATGTGTCGTCATGTCGCTACTTTTTTTGTTGAGGCAAACCTTGTCAAAGCGATCATATACTCACTGAAATAAGCTACTATAACATATTATTGTCTTTCGGGCAATTTATTTTGTACAAAAAATAGGCAAACCTTTACTTTAAGTTTCTTCTCTTCAGCATTAACTTGAAAAGGTAGTTTGTCTTATACGAAAATAATTTCTGAACTTGACCGGTCTCGAACGATTTTCACCCACCCTTAATCTGGTTTTGTCCACCGCGCCTGTGCATGGCGTATCTTGCTCTGCTCCGAGCTGTTTTAGGCCCAAGCAAAGATAGTGTTTTGCACTTTTGCATGATTAATGATTTTGTTAGAGAGGAGAAAGTTTCACAGTCAATGACTGAATGAGGGGAAAAAAACAAAGATTCTGCTACATCTTGCGCCAGAAGATATCAAACTTTGCTGTAGCTATTGCTTTAATTCAGGAAAATCATCAAGATTGACACACGCACAAAAAATATCTGTTCTGTTTGAATTTTCAAATCGAGTATTCGAGTCCGAACCTAAAACACCGATGCAAATCAATATCGACATACAAAGAGCCTCGACATGAGGCAGAAACATGCTAAAAACTGTTGCCAATGGGATATACTTCAAATTATACAAACAAAAAAGCTCCTCCTGTTGTACTTTCCATTTCTGATCAAGGAACCATCTGGATATAGGATCCTATTCCTAGGGCACATTCATCACTTGGATGGACTGCAGCATGTCGGAGAGCGCGATCACCAGGTCTCCGGACTGCACCATACCCCTGGCCTTCAGCAGGGAGAAGGTGCGGTTGAGGTTGCTCTCCATGTCATCGGACTCGCTGAGCCGGAATGGGATGAGACCCCACTGGAGGTTCAGCCGTCTCCTGACGGACATCGAGGACGTGAACGCAAAGATCGGGCAGTCGGGGCGGCATCGTGAGAGCAGAGAGGCCATGTAGCCATCCTTTGTGTAAACGAAAACAGCATCAACTCCTAAGTTGTTGGCTGCAAGTAAGCAAAGCACACAAGTTAGCACAAAGGCTATAGGTTCAAACGTTTATGTAGATGCAGCCACTATGCACAAGACAGGATGCAAAGTATCTCAACTAGTTCCGAATATATGAGACACGAACTAGCTTCAAGGTTAATCTCAGAGTCAGAAGCACAAATACGATGCACCAAAATGCGGTAGTTACTTATATGCTTTTATAACAAAATTACAGTGGATAGTGGTGGAGTGCAGGGTATACCCATTTTGGCTGCTGAATTGCATATTTGCTCTGATATCTTATCAGAGAATGAAGACGAGACATTTTGAAGCTCCAGCGCCTCATGGCGCTTCTCCTCTCTCCACCACCTTTCAATCCTCAGGCTAACACTCCTAAGGACGCTGAGAGCCTTCTCTGGATACCTCCCCATGGCTGACTCACCAGAAAGCATGAGAGCATCTGCACGCTGGCGGACTGCCTCAGAAACATCAGCAACCTCAGCCCTAGTAGGTGTAGGATACTCGATCATTGATTCCAGAAGTTGAGAAGCAACAATGACTGGCTTGTTAAGCTGTCTGCACATTCTAACTATTCTCTTCTGTATGGAAGGGACCTGTTCCAGGGGGATTTGTGCCCCCAAGTCCCCTCTGGCTACCATTATTCCATCTGATGCACAGATAATCTCCTCCAGGTTCTTCAGAGCATCAATTGTCTCAATCTTTGCAATGACCCCTATATCACTGGGACAAACAATGAAACAATTACAATGTAGACAACCAAGTAATAACTTGTAAATGAAATTAAAACATCACGTGTATGGTATCTAAGCCATTAAGTGTGATGGTCACTCGGCACATTTAAACCAGGGCATATAGACCTGCTACAGCTTTCAGTGTCCACAACCAAACTGCTACTCCCTCCATTCCAAATTCTAAGTCGCTTTGACTTTTTTGGTACATCCATTTTGTTATGCATCTAGATATAATATTATGTCTAGATACATAACAAAATGGATGAACCAAAAAAAGTCAAAACGACTTATAATTTGGAACGGAGGGAGTAGTATGCAAATTATCAACCAAACCATTTAAAACAAAAAAAAGGCAGACTCCACACTAATGTACAAATCCAATAATTCGTTAAATACATGCACCGATACTTATCAAGTTATCATCCAGAAGCCAAGCTCATGACTAGTAAAGCACTACCTTTCTGTTTTGGAAATAAGGATAATCAATATGTTACTATCAAACCCAGCTACATCCTACATGTGAATTGTGCATGTGACGAGGTGACAACTTTCAAACGTAATCCTACTTACCTTCCACGGCTCCGTGCAGAAATGTAACTCTTCAAATGATTAATTACTTCAGCAGACTTGACAAATGATACGGCGATGAAATCAACACCTTCAGCAATTCCAAAATCTATGTCAATCCAATCCTGCAAAGGTGAGGTCATAAGTATAATTATTATCTGCCAGTAGTGCCCAAGCCTTTATTAGCTACTGATTGATTGTATAAGAAATATTTCACTCAATTATATAGGCACTTCTTATCTTATTCTAGACTAGAAGCCTATAAGATAAAAGTTCCAGAGTATCCAACCCTTCACATTCTTGAAACTAATTTCAGCCATTAGGAAAAAGATCAGACAACCCAAGGGGTCAATATGGAATGGCATAAATTTACATTCCGGTCTGAGCTGAATATCTACATTGAATGTTGAGCACAAAGTATGAGCAGCAAATTCCAAATCAAAGCAAGTGATTTTTTCACTATATAAATTACCTTAGATGAAATTGTAGGAAGCATAGCGTTCCTCTCTCGCACTACACTGCCATCGCGCCATATAGTAAGATTAGCCTGTGGCAGCAATAAACCAGGATCAGTGCAGCGGCACTTCACATCTGGCCCTAACTTTTCAATCACCTCAAACCTGGCCATTCCACCATCCACAAATAGTTCATCGCCAGCTTTGACATCTGGGTAGGGTTTTGATTATTTATTAAAGCAGGAAAATTACAGTCACATTAATGTATTGGAGTCATTTTGATACAGATATCTTTAAAAAAAAGGTAGACTCAAGAAAGAAGATCAGCATTGATGGATAACCTTCAGCAAAGCCATCATAGTTCACATGAATGATTCGGTCTGTGAGCGATGTGTCAGAAGATCTAACGCTAAATGTCCAAACTTCTCCATCCTGCAAAATCCAAGAGAAGAGTAAATTCCGATAAGTAATGACTGATAAGACTTGGTTCTAAAACTTCAGTACATTGCAATTTAACCTGTTTAAACGGATGTTTTGCCTGTTTAAATTTCTGTTTAGCCTGAATAATGGCTAAACAGTAGGTGACCGATTGTTTACCATTTAGGAAAACACTAAGGAATCCCCCCCCCCCTTTTGAAGTACTCACAGTATGCATGCATGATCTAAACTCAGAGGTCTTTGTCGAATCATGGCCTCATAGCACATTTATCATTTCTCTTGTCAGAATTTAGTGGTTACTTTTTATCATGATTCCAAATCAGACTTATTTTTATGCTAATACAATTTACAATACGGTCTGTACTCTCCAATTCAGAAAAGTTCAATACTCAAGTCAACCCTCTCATGTTCCCCAACAGATTACACACTACTATCTCAACCTATAGTGGGAGACATGAATTAAAGGAAAACAGGGTTAATGAACAAGATTACTCCTAATGCTTTTTGAAATAACATATATAGCCTTAACAAGGGCAGCCTATGCAGCTGAATTTGTTTTTTACCATCATGGGTAGCTCAGATTTCCAACATGAAACTTTCGGTCATTTGTAAAACACATTTAAGAAGAAAAACATAATTTTAGGACACATCTTAGTAAACGAAATTCAGGAGTGCCATCAGACAATTTCTCCGCAATTTACAATATGGTCTCTACTCTCTAATTCAGAAAAGTTCAGTAGCTCAATTAGCCCTCTCATGTTCCCCAACAGATTACACACTACTATCTCAACCAATAGTGGGAGACATGAATGAAAGGAAAACAGGGTTAATGAACAAGATTACTCCTATTGTAGTTAACTCTAGTGCTTTTCAAATAACATATATAGCCTCAACAAGTGCAGCCTATGCAGCTGAGTTTGTTTTCTTTTTTCTCATCATAAGTAGCTTAGATTTCTAACATGAAAATTTCAGTCAGTTGTATAACACATTTAAGACAAACGAAATTTCAGGACACATCTCAGTAAACGAAACTCAGGAGTGCCATTGGACAATTTCTCCTCAGATTTTACATGCTAAACCTCATCTTGAATAACATCACCTTCTTGGGATCATCCTCACGAGATCTCATCAGATACAGACGAACGACGAGTCAGTATATCAGCCGCACATCATTCAGTGTTTAAGCATGGAATGAACCTAGGAAGGCGAAGGAACGAGATGAAGCTGAGGCAGGGTCGCGCGCTGACCTCGGCCTTCGCGGAGGGCGCGCCGCCAAGGTCGCCCATGTGGATCTCGCTGCCCTCGGTGTCCATCATCACGGCGACCGCGAAGCCCTTCTCGTCGTTGAGCCTCCGGACAGCGCGGATGACCCCGCGGTGCCACTCGCGGTCGCCGTGGCACATGTTGACCCGCGCGACGTTCATGCCGCCGACGGCGAGCGCCTCGAGCTCGGCGGCGCCGCAGGTGGCGGGGCCCACGGTGCAGACGAGCTTGGTGCGGCGCGTGCTCCGGAACCCGTTCTCCCGCAGCTCCGCCTCGGTGGCGGCATCCACGTCGATGGCGGCCGCGGCCGCGGCCGCGGCCACGGAGGAGGCCGCCGCCCACGGCACGTGGACGCCGTTCGTGGCGGAGGCTGATTCGGGGAAGGAGGTGAGGTCGGAGGACGAGGCGGCCAGGCGGCGGCTGCGTTGTGGGCGGAGGTGGGAGGGGACGGGGAGGCGGTGGGAGGAGGGAGGTTTAGGAGGCGTCGGACCCGCGCGGTGGAGGGAGCGGGCAGCGGTTGCCATGGCTGCCGCTACCGCGGCGAGGCTAACCAAGGGAGGCGGCGGTGTGCCGGCCGGCGTGGCTCTGGCTTTGGGAGTGTCGCCCGCGGCAATTCTTGCTATGGACGAATTGAGGTCAAAACAGGAGTGCAGCAGGACGCTTGGATGTGCCAACGGCGATTTGTCAGATTCGGATCTACTCGTACAATGATACAGTCGTACTGCCGTGGTAGGCGTTGACAAAAGCAACGAAAGCATCATCAGTTCACGACTTCACGCTGTTGATCGTCATTTGGTGCTCCTACAGTCCTGCCTATTCATCGTCATCAAATAGTCCAAGGCAGGGAAAAAAGAGGCTTTTTAAACCATTTGTCGTTTTGTACTGTATAGAAAATGACAGTTCCTTGAAAGATATGGAAAATGTCGTTCACTGCCTATATAGCACTACATCAAACGTCCAAGGTCGGCAGACATGCCTTTGGACTGACGAGGAGCCTTTTTTTCTACGCCTCGGCTCTTCAAGTACAAGCTGCTGTAGTCATCCTGTTTATTTCAGCTTATTCAGAACTACTTTCAGTCATGAAATAGTGTTTTCTCTCATAATATTTTAGCATACATATCAGCATAAGATAAATGTCAGCATCAGCGAACAGGGTGAGTATTTAATTTGAACTGTTGTAAAAATTTCATACTCATTGGATCATGTATGACTTAGTTATAGATTTATTTATATTTAACAAGCATAAACCTAAATAAAATCTATAACTAAGTTATACATGATCCAATGAGTATGAAATTTTTACTACAGTTTAAGCATTCAATAATTAGCCCACCATAAAAAATTACTATAATTGGACTATAGAAACTGCAGCTACGAATTATTTCATTTAATTACAGAAAAGCATAGATCTAAAGTTACAGCAAAAATTTTGTATTAAAGCATACCATATTATATATTCATTGTGTAGATCTACTCATGTGGAGTCCAACAAAATTGAATTTTACATTTTATGATTTTTCTGTAATTTACTATGATTTTTCAAAGATTCAGCCGAAATAAATAAAAAAAGAAAAAAATAAAACCGCCTTCTAAACTGCTTATAACCGGGCCAGTGAGGTAAGATAAACAGTTTTAAAAATGGAAGAAGGTGTTTTGCCTGGTTTTGAAGTTCAGAAAGAAAAAACGAACTTTCGTGAAAATTGAGGGAGGTAATACGGACTTTTTTCTTACGCAAAACAGAAGTAAAACCTACCAAGCCCAGCCCATCAGCACGGCCCAATCTAACCTGCTCACCACCAATTCCTTCGCAAGTCAAAATCAACGGTCCAGATCTCACCTCCCAAACCCTAGACCTCACACTCCAGCTCTCATATAAGGTCGAACACTCCCTCCCTGCCTCCACGCTTTCCACCCCACCGCCGAAGCCACCGCGCCGCTACCCCTCGCCGCCGCCGAAAATGGCTGCCGCCGCGCGCCCCCTGGTCTCCGTGAGGACCCTGGAGGGCGACATGGCCACAGACTCCGCCGGCGTCCCGCTGGCGGACGTCCTCCGCGCGCCGATCCGCCCGGACATCGTCCGCTTCGTCCACAAGCTGCTGTCCTGCAACAGCCGCCAGCCCTACGCGGTGTCGCGTCGCGCCGGCCACCAGACCTCCGCGGAGTCCTGGGGCACGGGGCGTGCGGTGTCCCGTATCCCCCGCGTTCCTGGCGGTGGTACCCACCGTGCCGGCCAGGGAGCCTTCGGCAACATGTGCCGTGGCGGACGCATGTTCGCGCCCACCAAGATCTGGCGCCGTTGGCACCGCCGCGTCAACATCCACCTCCGCCGTGTCGCCATCGCCTCGGCCCTCTCCGCCACCGCCGTCCCGTCCCTCGTCCTCGCCCGCGGCCACCGCGTGGAGTCCGTCCCCGAGCTTCCGCTCGTCGTTTCCGACTCCGCAGAGTCCATTGAGAAGACCGCCCAGTCCATCAAGATGCTCAAGCAGCTCGGTGCCTATGCCGATGCTGAGAAGGCCAAGGACTCTGTTGGCATCCGCCCCGGCAAGGGGAAGATGCGCAACCGCCGCTACATCAACCGCAAGGGACCCCTCGTTGTCTACGGCACTGAGGGCTCTAAGATCGTCAAGGCCTTCCGCAACCTCCCTGGCGTTGATGTTGCCAATGTCGAGCGTCTCAACCTGCTCGACCTCGCCCCTGGTGGCCACCTTGGCCGGTTCGTCATCTGGACTGAGTCCGCGTTCAAGAAGCTGGATGAGGTGTACGGTACCTTCGACACGCCATCGGCGAAGAAGAAGGGTTTCGTGCTCCCGAGGCCCAAGATGGCAAACGCTGATTTGTCCAGGCTGATCAACTCTGACGAGGTGCAGTCAGTGGTGAAGCCCATCAACAAGGAGGTGAAGCGTAGGGAGCCTAGGAAGAACCCGCTGAAGAATATGGCTGCAGTGCTCAAGCTGAACCCGTACCTCGGTACTGCACGCAAGATGGCAGCCCTAGCAGAGGCAGCGCGTGTCAAGGCCAGGAAGCAGAAGCTTGACTCCAAGAGGACCAAGCTCAGCCCAGTATGATAATCTTCTCTTCCTTTTACATTTTATACATCTGTATATAGCTGTTCATAGTATTCTACATTAATTGTTTGTTATTTAGCACTGTATATTTATTGCTAAAGTACTGTACCATTTCTTTGTCATTGATTGTGTATTGACATTTTCTATGCAGCCTAATAGTATAGGGTATGGTATATTTCTTGAATTAGGTTGTATTGTGTCATAGCTTAGGTCGATTGTTGAGATTGGTACTATTTGTTCCTAGTTTCTAGATTGTGTTGATATGGTTAGCTAACATGCATGTGTCTGAACCTTTACGAGGAACTGTTAACATTGATGCTGCATTTTTGGTGTGCCACTCAAGCTGTCAATTCTTATTGCTGGATTAGCCCTATTTCACAATGCCCTGGGAGTTTGCTAGTTCAGATATTGAATTAGTTGTTAGCTCTAGTTTGTGGTGAATCATGTAACCTTCTGCTACATGGAACACACCAAGTTACTGTTTCTCTAACTAATAAATTAAATCTATGAAATATGTCTTGACAGTGTATTTATTTGGAACTATAGATTTTAATATAGGTTTTGTATAAATTTTGTCAGAGTTTGAGATGTTTAACTTAGGACAAAACTAAACAACCTACAGTTCAGCTCATTAGCAGATATACATTTCACAGTAGCTTAATTATTTCCACCATAGATTTATCTTCAAGATGTGAACTGAATGACACATGGTTGTTTCACCTCTTGCTGATGTTCTTGGTCCTAGACACATTCACTCTGTTGTCAGTTATTTCGCATGCCTATTGCTGTTCACATAGGTTAGATGAACTGTGCATTGCATTTCACCACTAAATTGTTTACTTGTTATATATTCCATTTCCAATATCCTCTTCCTAGTCAATCTGGCTAGATGTAATGTATATCTAGGTGCATACTGCATAGAAAATTTTGTACCTAGAAAAAACAAAAAGACTTATAATTTGGAATAGAGGGATTATCTCATAATACTAAAGTGATGTGCTGATCATGTCTTTGTAATTTCCTTACAGGAGGAGGCTTCAAAGGTTAAGGCTGCTGGAAAGGCGTGGTATAAGACCATGATCTCAGACAGCGACTACACGGAATTTGAGAACTTCACCAAGTGGCTTGGTGTTACACAGTGATTGTCTGGGTCAAACCTTCGTAGTTTGTCAAGTCAAAAATTATGATTTTGTTTTCTATTGTCAGATGTCGCTTGTTATTGGTATCTTCAGACATGATATCTTGTTTTGGCTTTTGTAGTTTTTTACCGCTGGATTTTTACTTCCAGATACCAATGACACCTATTATGAGAACAAGGTATATGCAATTTTCAATACTCTTTGTGCCTTTGTTTGTGGCTGTATTGGTTACTCGAATTTACATGGTCAGTCATGTTGTATCTTTGTCATAAGGCATACCTGATTGCAATGTACTCCATTCCTAATTATAAGATATTTCGGCTTTTCTAGGTACATTGCTTTAATTGTGTAGCTAGACAGTGTATATCTAAGTGTAGCAAAAGAAAAGCTATGTACCTAGAAAAGCTAAAATGTCTTATAATTTGGGTATAATTTGGGATGAAGTATTCGGTTATGTTTCTGTATGCATTGTTCTGTTCCCTTTTGTTTCTTAGGTGTATGGTATATGATGCTTCGGTCGTCTATTTTGGCTTGACAGCAATGGTTTCTGGTGAAGGATGTGGTTCTGTGTTCTTGTTCCGTTTCTTTGGAGCATCGTACTGTATGTGTCATTATTTGAAGCATCTCTTTCTTCAGTTCTTGCCTTTTTCGGTTGTGGTAATTTTGCAGGAATAACCACGGTTCAAATCCTTAGTTTGTCAAAATTGAAGATTTTAAATTTGATTGTAGTATAGGTAAGATTGAAAGTTGTGGTTGTAGATTATTCTGACTGGTCGATGAATCAACCTGTAAAATCGCACATCAGAATTTCATGCCTCCTTTTGCGCGCAATCTAGTATAATAGAAATTGATTGGCCTCAGCTTCTGTAGATGTTGATTTGGGACTTGGCATAAACTAGTGAACTCTCTACTCAGAATTTATTTCGCTGCTTGGCAAAGCTATCCAGCTACACTTTTCTGCATATTCTCTTTCTGAGAAAGTGGAGAGCTTTTGCGCTTCTCGGATGTGGATGTCTCGCTCTCATCTCATCACCACTTCACCCCAGCAACTAGCCAATCCACATTCCACCATCTACCCATCAAAACTTGCCTCTTGTCTGATACCTTTGCTGTTCAGCTCTCTTTCAGAAACGTAAACTACGAGTTTGGTAATTCTTAAGGTCAACATTTCCACAGCTGTCTAAAAGCTCACTTGTGAAGGCAGCTGTCTAAAAGCTCACTTGTGAAGGGCTAAAAATATTATTGGTCTTTGAGATGGGCTACCGTGTAAATCAGATCCGTCTGTTGTCTCCGCTAAAACAAATAAAACACAAGAGCAGAATCCAGTGAACATGCAACATTAAGGATAGCATGCCTTCTTCCTGACACCATTTTGTGGAACGTTTCTCAGCACAGTAACAGAGACCACCATTTTGTATGCCTTGTTCCCGACACCATTTTGTGGAACATTTCATAGCACCCAGACCACCATTTCTCCTCAAAACTAAAGGGATACGTGTAGATTAGAAACATTTTTCGGTACAGGGACAAGTGCTGTAGATAAGCTCCATTTCGTGAAGTGTTATCATCAGAATGATTGTCAGGACCAATACTGGGTACCCAAAGAGGAGGGGTTAATAACCATCAACATTGATTCGTCCGAACAGTCAAGAGCGCGACTACAGCCCCAACCGATCCCAGGTGCGCAAACTCCGCCTCGCTCACCAGACTTCTGATGGGCTGGCTCCACTTCGCCCGACACCGAGGCCGCAGGCTCTGCCTTGCCCGACCTCTGAGGGCTGGTTCCGCCTCGCCCGACACCGAGGCCACGGGCTCCGCCTCGCCCGACCTCTGAGGGTTGGCTCCGTCTCGTCCGATCCCTAAGGGTTGGCTCCGCCTCGTCCGACACCGAGGCCACGGGCTCCGCCTTACCCGACCTCTGAGGGCTGGTTCCGCCTCGCCCGACACCAAGGCTGCAGGCTCCGCCTCTTCCGACCCCTCAGGGCGGACTCCGCCTTGTCCGACCTCTGGGAGGCAGGCTCTGTCTCGCCCGACACCAAGGCCGCGGGCTCCGCCTCGCCCGACCTCTAAGGGCTGGCTTCGCCTCACCCGTCCCTTGGGTTTGGGCTTTGCCTCGTCTGACCCTTGGGTTCGCGCTCCACCTCGCCCAGCCTCTGGAGGAACTCCATCTCGCCCGACCCCGAGGCCGGGGGCTCCGTCTCGCCCGACGGAGACCCATACTGTCGCCAACCACTCCAGGTCCAAAGCGTATGGGGCCTGGGTCAAAGTTCTGACGCCATGGAGGAGACTGGCACGCCTCAATGTAGCCCGCGACCCACGACGGGATATACCTGGGGGTTCACGTCAGGAACAGCATCAGGCATACCGGTACTGTTCTGCCTAACCCCGTACGAACACTGACAGACGCGTCAATTCGCCACAACGTTCGCCAGAACGGAGTGAAGCGCCATGACCGGCAAACAACGCCTACACATGGCGCTAGTGACGGACATGGCCGCGACGTGGAGCTGTCCCTGTTGACGTCTACAGGGTTGGTGGGACCCGCGTGAAGGAAAAGAAAGGACCCGACGATCCTGCAAGACTTCTCCTCCTTCTCGTTCTCCCATTTTCCCTGCTGTAACCCTTTCTTTCTCTTGACCTATAAAAGGGGAAGCAGGACGTCCCATAGAGAGGACCTCAATTCGACTCCACTCGACTCGACTCAGATGCATCGCAGCACATCACACCGATTCGGACTCGAACCCCGAACCGATTAGAATACACAAGCACACAGCCGAGACGCAACCGAGCTCTCGGCGTCCCTCTCACCAGAGACTTGGGACCTATCCCTCTCTCGACCGTTTGTAACCCCTACTACGAATTTTCACTGCTACACGAGCGACAACTAACGAACTGGACGTAGGGACATTCTATCCGAACCAGTATAAACCTCGTGTCCTCTTAACACACCATCCGAGCCAGACGCGTAATATTAGAAATTTACTTATTGGCGGTAACTCGAAACACCGACAATCAGCCTGTTCGCCGGTTGATTTCTGGACTGATAAGCCCAGCTAATACTGATTTATTATGAGAGGAAAACATTATTAGGGGGCTGGTAAGTGCTCGCTGAAACCAACAAATTAGCAGACAAGCGGTTGTTGTTTTGGTACACGGAGAAAGCGATCTGGACGGCATAGATGGACGCAGAGGGGTCGTCAGAGTTAGCATTGGCGAATTGGGAATCTATCTGTAGGATGGTGACATCGGATGAATCCATGAGGCGACCAATAGGGTTCCATCCAGTCATAAATTAAGCTAAACCAATTTTAAGGTAGCAGCAATTTTTAAAATATAAATTAAAAAAAAAGAAACAGAAAAGGAAGCAGAAGCCAAGAACTGAAGTAAAGAACACCCCCTGCACACAAAACATTTGCAAGGCCACGCCCCCTCCAAGGCTCCAACTCTAGCGTGAGTGGCGTCCCGATCGCTTCGTAACCGCCTCATTAATCCGTCCCTCCTCTGAGGTTAGTCTCCGACTGGTCTCCAGATTTCTCTCCAATTTATCTTTTTTTTTTCTCCACATGCAATTTGCCTTTGCTATTCTTGGAGTCCGGTGGTGGTAATTTTTTTCAGCTCCTTTTTTTTTCCTTCTTTTTTCTTCCTCTGACCTGAACTGCTGTCCCAGCCAGGCTTTCACCTCGCGGCTTAATCCCAATTGGGTTGGCTGGAGCGCAACCCAATTGGGGGTTAATTGGGATTGCTACTCCGCGGCTGCCCGTCCCTCGTGTTCTTGGATTGGCGAGGCGAATCGACTGGTTTCCTGCAGGTGAGGACTGATGCCTACTCACAGCTATTCGATTGGAATGGGATGGATTGGATTGGTTCCTTGCGCGTTCGATTCCGCTGTCTTTTCTAGATTGCGCGGTAAAAACAATGGATCTTTTGGACTTCATGTTCCTGAAACCAATTCGAGCTTCTGCTCTTAGTTTCCAGTTCGAAATCTCAATCATGTCTTCATACGCGTTCCTTCCGTGCTGACGTGCTGTTCGATCCTTGACGCCCAATGTTTGAGTTGTTATAGGCTGCGAGTGTTCATAGTTTGATGGATTCTTATCGTTGCATTTAAGTTTGGTTTTCTAGCTGGAAATCCCGATCGAGGAATCCGGTTATTAGGACTGAAGGTAAGTCTAGTAGGTAGCTGTTACATGTTCTTCGTTTGCCAAAACTAATCCCCTTTCTTACAAACATAGTTTATCCGTGTTCCTTGTTGAAAATCCTGCGTGATATCATGGTCCGAGTTGGATCTCTTTTATGGTTACATTACTGTGATGTTTCTTACTTTCCTTGGATCATGGATGAATTGATTGGTTCATCCTGCCAGCCATATAAAATTTCTTTTTGACTTGTTTTAAAGGTGCCTAATTTGGTAGTTCCTACGTTGAAATTTCCACTATTCTGAATCCGTGTTATTAGCCTTCAAACTGAACATGGATCTTTTTCTCTGAATTGGAGTTGACTTCTCTGTTGAGTCCTTTTTTACTGTACATGGTTGCAGCTGATAGAGCTTTTTGTTGTTTATTAGATCTCGTGTGATCCTTCCAACTTGAATTTCTCTCTAGTTTTTGTATCATGTGGGATTTATCTTCTATATCAAAATTTTCAGTTGCTGGTCACAATCAGAAGGTGATATTTACACCAAGGACTAAATTTAGGAATGTGTTAGGTGACAGAAGAACGGAGGAAACTATTTTTTTATTTCAGAAGAATGTGGAGGCAATCCTTTTTCGATTTAGTTGGCTCGTTTAGTTGCTCCATGAATCGCTGCATCAGGATGACTTATTTTCTCCAATTAGATCTTGAATCTTCTCTAGCCAAGAGCACCAGATGTGTGACTACGTTGAAAATCTTGTTTCTTCCAATGGTTCTGACAGAGAAACAGCAGTGCTTGGTTTGATCTATTGGCATTCTCATCGTTAAACTTCAACATTCTCATTTCTCCCTTGTATCCCTGGTCTTCTTTTTATTCTGCGTCTTTGTCTTCATTCAGATGTCTGCACAGTACCGTGTTGTTTGTTACTTGGTAGTTGGTACTTGCATCCATTGGGATGGTACTGGAGTGGTCTTTAATCAGCTCAACATTGATGTCATTATACTGCTCTTTTTTAAATAAAAATACTTTGAGTAACATCAGTATTGAGAGCTTAATATGAAAGTGATACTGTGCTAACATCTGAATCAAGACAAAGAAGTGGAATAAAAAATCATGTATTTGTGTCAAAAATACTTTTTTGTAGGTTTCAATAATACATCACATGGAAACTGTGTTAAAAAAAATATTGGTTTTGAGTAACCCGTTGGTACCAAAAATTTATGTGCGACTGGAGGTGCATTCAGACAAGATTGAATATATGCCAGAACACAATGAGTTGCACGCATTCTTCTCTACTTGGATTCTACAATGAGAAACTGATAGTTTTGTTATCGTGATGCCTTTGTGATCTACATTTGTTTTCTTTTCATTCCTCCGGTGCTACTGTACATTCTGACCTCTTCCATTTATCTTGGGCCAGCCTCCTGGGTAGAATCATGAAGCTGAAAAATAGTGCAGTGGAGACTTTTAAGGAGAACAATATGATTTTCACTTCTGAAAGAAATTTCCACTCTAAAAAAATGCGAGAAGATTATGTTGCTAGTCCAAACCAAGCAGATGTTCAGACAAGATGCAAATGGATAATTGGAGATGTAACTGAGGTCTTGGATCGCAACACATGGAAGCTTGGAAAGATCTTAAAGATGCTAAAGAACAATTACTTTGTTATCAGACTTGCTGATTGCATCCAACTGAAAGAGTTCCACATATCTAGCTTGAGAATTCCACGTGGTCTGGAACCTCCTCAAAGCAAGCCCTTTCATGCAGCAGATAAGGTAACAGTCACTTCCTGGGAGTACAAAGTTGCCCTGTTTCAAATTTACCTGTTCATGTGTCATGCACGATCGATAGCTCATAGTTCTTGTAAAATTGGTGCTTAGGATCTTTGATTCATCATGCTTGGCTTAGATCAACATTTGCATTTTTGCTCGCAAAAAAAGCAACATTTGTATTCTGTGATTTTGGTGTCCTCTTAGTTTCATCGGTGCTGATTGCTGAACTGTGGGTCATCGTCAGGACTCCCGTTATATTGTATTGAGTGATTTCTTATGTTGTTGAAGGGAAATGCCTCACAGGCTTCGACTGTTTCCACTAAATTTATTTATTGTCTACATGGTTTATTATCTTTTATTCTCTTTTCGGGCCACATAAAATGCTTCTTCTTCGGTATAGTGTATCAGATGGAACTAGGAAATATATCACAACTTGTCAAACATCAGAATTGTGTCATGACATGCTCTCCTTTTAAGTTAGAGTTATTATCTTGCTCTCTCTTTATCTGTTTTTCGAAAATAGAAGTGAAGTTCCGGTTTTTGCTGTGGTGCAAGTCTTTGTGCTTTTCATTTGAGGCATTTCACCTCAGGCCTCATTGCATTGCATCGTTGAGCGTCCTAGATTACATTTGGGAGACGTAGAAACACAGATGGTGATTATAGCAGCGTGTCACTGATTGAGCTGCACCATCTGATTGGTTGCTGTCAGATGTGATACTTCACTCACAGATGCAGGATTTGTTTGCCACCAGAGTGCCGTCAATCTTGTTGCTTTTTTTTTATTAACAGTTTGTGACTGCAGAGGAAATGTTTTTTTTTAAACAGAATGACTGACGCTTGAAGCATTGGGCCATCTTTTGCCACCATTGTGTTGTGCATTTACCGTGTTCCTGTCCAAACAGACGATCTTACTGTTGCTCATCTTCCTTTCAGGCCACCGGACGCGGTAAGCGCCGACCTGCTGATGGCGCCTTGCCTGGCGCAAGAGCTGTGCAGCAAATGGGTCATCGAACACCCTACGATCTGGGGAGCAGTGGCAAGAAGCGGAAAGCAGCCGCAGATGCCTCTCGCCATCCGAGAAGAGCAGCAGCACATCCCCGAAACGCGGTCGCAGCTTCCAACCTGAACGGCGGCATGACCGACAGCTACCTGCAGAGCTCTTCACAGGCCATAGAAGACGTCGAATGCTCGGTGGCCAGCTGCAGCGTGAACGACCTGTATCGTCTCAGCAATGGCCGCAACGTTAAGCGGCGCCCCGCCGCCGCAGGGTGCCTCCCTGACGACGCCATGTCCGCGTGCCCGTGCACGCCCGGGGCCAGGGAGGTGGACGACGACGAGGAGGGTGATGCCGCGGCGGGCGTGCACGGGCTGGAGCTGGAGGCGTACCGGTCGACGATGCGGGCGCTGTACGCGTCGGGGCCGCTGACGTGGGAGCAGGAGGCGCTGCTGACGAACCTGCGCCTGTCACTCAACATCTCCAACGAGGAGCATCTGCTCCAGCTCAGGCGCCTACTGTCCTCGTGATCGTTACCGCTTGGCATTGCCAGCTACCCTTCTGGTCCCTGGCCTTCTCCGTCGTCACCAGCGTCAGGCGTCGGCTCACGTCGGCTTCGCCGGCCGAGCGCCGTCCTGTTCGGCGAGCCTCTTGCTTTTACTGTTCTTGTTATTACAGTACATGGTTCTCCACCGTCTTTGTCTAGTCCAGGTAGAAAGAATCCTATGTTTACCAGTGTCGACTCGAGAAACGGATGTATACAGGGGACTCAGAGAGAGACGCCTGCATCTTTGTCAAGCCTTGTGTATCCTTGATATATTCTTGCTTGTAAATGCAAACATATTTACAAGTTTTTCTTTGAGGGACCATGTTTATAGGTTCTTAATTTATTTGTGATTTAGGCTCCGTTTGACAGGGCTTCTGGAGCCGCTTTGGAGCCGTTTTCTGCCAAACGGGGTAAAATAAAACGGCTCCACCGATGAAGCCCCTAAAAACGTGCTCTCACAGAGCTTTGGGGTGGGAAGGAGCCAAAAAATAGTGGCTTCTCTCGGCTTCATCTCATTCTACATGGCGTTCTCTGAGAGCATATTTTAAGAAAAACTCTATGTGAAGCTGTTTTGCCAAACGATTTATCAAAACGGCTACAGCTCCATCCATATAGCTGTTCATGGAGCTGAAGTCCAAAAAAGAGGCTTCATACGTGAAGTGGAGCCGTGCTAAACGGGACCTTACTGTCTGTTTATTTGTTCTTTAGCAAAAAACTAAACGACGAGCCGAGTGATCTGTGGAGGCTTTGCTCACTCTATTTTTGCTATGTTGCTGTTCATAACACCACTGTCGTATTCCCCAACTCCGGTGGGGCTTGGTGTTCGGGCTTGAAATGGGAGGGCTGTCCGGAGAAAAGGTGTTCGATTCTGAGATGAGGGAGTAGTCCGGAGAAAAAAGAGTTGAGTATGCATGGTCTTTATTATGGAATATTTCTATAGACACTTATCAGAGATTCACGACATTTGTGAATGTAAAATCATCTAAAACATGAAAAAATATCATAGTTTTTTCGTTTCAACTATTTTTCTTTTTTTTGCATCAATTATATATGTTATATGATTTTACATTCACCTATAACTACTTACGCGGTTCAAGCCTCTGCTAGTAACTAGCTCAAACATCTTAGCGAACTAAAGTACTCGTTAGCCAACTTTAACTAATTTAAATTAATTTTCAGTTCTAAGTAGTAAGATGATCAAAAAGACCCTGAGCATACTGAGGCTACCAAAGGTGTCGGTCTTTGTTTGGTAAGCACCACTTTTGCTCACAATGACCGGTAATGGCGTACTTAGGCAGTGTTTGGCCGGGCTCCGGCTCTAGCTCCGACGGATGAGCCGCACCAAACACGCTGAGGAGCCGAAGCCCTTTTGCACGTACGGTCCGGCTCCGGCTCCGGCTCACCGCGGGCGGAGCCCGGCCAAACACGACCTTCGGTGCGCACTATTTTTCCTGACCGGTAGCGGCGTAGCACGACGTCCGGGAGTCTCGTGAGGAGTTTGGCAATCGATTCGCTTGGCAGATCTTTGATGAGAATTCCTTACCAAGGGTGTTGCACGTGCCAAACTTTCTGTACCCAAAGGATGGTTAAGGCCTGGTTTAGATTACAAATTTTTGTAATCCGGATACTGTAGCACGTTTCGTTTGTATTTGACAAACTTTGTCCGATCATGGACTAACTAAGTTCAAAAGATTCGTCTCGTGATTTACAACCAAACTGTACAATTAATTATTTTTTTAACTACATTTAATGCTCCATACATATATCCAAAAATTGATATGATAGAGAGAGAGTGAAAAAACTTGAAATTTTGATGGGATCTAAACAAGGCCTATGAACCAAACCACCACCCAAACTAAATGGGTCTGTCTATAGCACGGTCGGATGTTCCAGGGTCAGCTAACACCTGAGTGTTCAACACCACATGCTCACTCGATTGGGACTAAAAAGAAAATCGAGTGTTTCTCATCTAAGCATCACTCGATTGCATGACCGTTAGATCTAGATCAAAGGAAAAAAAAGATTATTCAAATAATAAAAATAATAAACAAATAAAACAAAAACAAAGCCAGATTAGTTTTATGGAAGGCAAATTGGAAAATTTCAAAGGATAACCAAATAAAACATACCGAAAATAAAAAAAAGTCAAAAAAAAGATCAGATAACTGTTCAAGTAATCCTGATCATTCTCATTTACAAACAATCAATTTACACCAATTAAACACAGAACTTACACTCAAACTAGAATTGTAAAATATGATCCAATAAAATATAATCGGTAACTAGTGGCAAGAAAAAAATCTACACGAATGCATGGGTCTGTGGTGGGGCCAGCGGCTGCTGCTATTTCGCGGGGCGAGGTGGGGGACCATCAGGCTATTCGCTTGGTTGTATTTGACTTATAAGTTATGGCTTATCAGCTAACGAACAATATTTTTCTCTCACACTAAACCAGCCAACGGTACTTTCAGCCATGACTTATAAGCCAAACCAGCCCAATCGAACATATCGATGCATGTGGTCCGGGGCAGTTCTGCGCCCAGCAAATCGAAGTGGGCGCCGCTTGTGGCCCTGGGCAGAGTGGTCCATGCATGCATGCAAATTCTTCCGGGCAGGGGCAGAGTCACGGTGAGATCAGCGATAGATTGCAGCGATTCCCAGAGGCACAACATCTAAATCCGACGCCTAAAAAAATCGAGTAACAGCAGGCAGAGAATCACTCGAGGGTCGGATAGCTTTAGCGAACTAAATCTCTATCTCTACAACAACTAAAACATCTAAATCTATTCCGTCCACCCGCCAACCTGGTGTCGCTTGCTCCCAGCCCCGCCCCGCAATTCCGCACGCGCCCTCGCTCTCAGACCCCGCCCGGCACTTCCGCACGCGCCCTCACTCTTTCGCACGCGCGATCGCTGTACGCAAACTCCTCCAATCATGCTCCCTTCAAATCGCAAGATCGCCTCCTCCAATGACGCAATCGCCGGTCACGCCCGCGCGGTCTCCCTTCCCCGCAACTCCTCCCCGCAAAACAAAAAAAATCACAGTCAATCACGCACGCGCTGTCTCCACGTGTCGCTCGACGCCTCCACGCCGTCAAACGCGCCACCGCCTGCACGACCTGTCCTGTCGTTGCTGCCCGATCCCACTAGTAGGACGTCGTCTGCCCGATCCCACGCACCCTTGGCACTCTGGGATCCTCTTTTCCCCTACCCGGCTTTCATCGATGAATCAAATCCTTGCCCAGATCATGTTTCCATCTCTGCCTGCATATTCCATGGCCCGTCGTAAGCCGCAATCAACTCCGACTCTCGTCCATGACCACGCCGACGTCGCTCCTGCCCCTCACGACCTCAACTTCCGTTGCCTGCTTCCAGTTTCACGCCGACGACGCTCCTGGTCCACCCAGATACCACGTCCATGACGCTCCTGGTCCACCCCAACGTCCAAGGCGACGGCCCCGGACATCGAGGAACTTGGCATCAAGGTTTGAACCATCTCGACGATGATCTTTCTTCTCTTCCTGACTCCTGCCTGTTTCGGTTTCATTGCCTGCTGCAACTGCTCGGGGGACGCTCTCATGGTGTTTGATGAAATGTCTCTTAAGCCATTGCAACGTTATTGGATAGCACTAGCCAGCGCAAATTTTTCCAAAGGGTCTCCCTCCAGTTTAGTTGGGAGAGATGGCCGACCATTCCTGGTGAGTCGATCCTTGCACTGGTCCGTTGATGTTGGAGAAAAAATGATCCTGCCTGCACTAGCACGTTTTTTTTTAACTATCTAATTGACTGTTTTTTCTCATGAAACTTTCCTAATCAATGAAGTAGGCTTTGTTCTTGGGATGTCTAGGAAATTAGACTAATAATGCAAGTGAGAAAAAATTGTCAATTTGTTTGGGTCCTAATCCTTTCACTAACCCGTTGTCAGGATTTGTTCAGACCACAGCTTAAACTCTGAAGAAACGAGGTGAAGAGCCCTGCAGCTGTACGTTTTCAATGTGCGCCTACTTCAAATTGCCTAGACAAGAATCCCCATCGGTAATGATTTAGTAGTCCTTATATTGACAGATTCCTAACTTGCTCGAAATTGCCAGCTTGCATTTCCTATCACAGTTCAGAATTTCAGTTTAGAGTCATTTGCGCAGTTAGTTTTCTGCTTGATGTTTTTGGGTAATATATGAAGCTGACTGACTGTTAGTATGCACAACAATTTATATATAATCAGCCTTAATATATCATATTTTCTTTGTTATTGTTCTCGCTACTTCCTCCATTACAATTATAGATCATTGCTAAAGCATGGGATGCATTGCGATTGTAGAGTCTCCACAAATACTCCTACTGAATATAGGTTTCAACAAAGACATACTTAATGAAAAGTCCTTCGCATCTAAAACTATTTAAGCCTAAAGTTTGTTTCTTATAGGGGAAAATCACATTTATTTAAATCAGTTTATGTCAGTTCTTCTTTCCATGAAATTAATGTTTTTGTGGCCAATTTCAATATCATATCAAATCTTTAGTTTCCCAGCCGTCACAGTCCTACAGTGCCGGCCTGTTCCTGGGTCCTCCGATTCTTCCATCCACGGCCTCTGGCTTTCTACAGTAATACGGTGCCCCGTGCCCCTAGGGCCCTTCAATCAGTGGCGGAGCCAGGATTTCACATCGGGGTATTCCATGTTAAAAAAAATTCCAATGCAAATATGAGTAATAAGCAAAGTACAATATGCAATAGTAATAAGCAAAGTGCAAATATGCTGGCACCCTTCTTCTTTATCTAATTACAAATACAATGCAAAAAAATAGAAAAATAATCTTTATTCACATTTCTTCGAGCCGAAGCCGGAATGGGGACAGAGGGGAGGGCTGATCAGTCGGAGCCCGAAGGGAAGATGCTCCTCTGCTGCAGGCCGCCGCAGGCTCCTTTCCTGGCGGGCTTCGACACCGGCCGCTGGGGCCGGATAGGCGCAGTTGAGCAGAGTTAGGA